GCAGCAACAGCACCAGCACCAGCACCTCATACAACGACAGCAACAGAAACAGCACCGCATACAACGACAGCAACAGAAACAGCAACAGCAACAGCAGCAGCAGCAGCAGCAGCAGCAGCAGCAGCAGCAGCGGCAACGGCAACGGCAACGGCAACGGCAACGGCAACGGCAACGGCAGGAACAGGAACAGGAACAGGAACAGAGGCAACAAAGGCAACATGCAAGAAGCAACAGCAAAAGCAGCAGCAACGACAACATCAACAACAACCAGAACCTGAACCAGAACCAGAAACATCACCGCCACTGCCGCCACCACCACCACCACCACCACCACCGCCACCACCATCCCAACCACAACGAACCACAACCGCAATCACAACACCAGCAGCAGCAGAACAAAACATTGTATGTAGCAGTATGACCTAAGACATATGTCCCAACTAACCCATTTAAAACACAAATGTTTAGAACCACGTGAGGTGGTGCCACAACGTAGCTTTGACAGTGCGGTTTCTAGGTTTATCAGTTGACAGGGCTTTAGAGCTATAAGTGGACGTACAAGACTTCCTAAGGTGTCATGACCTTTCAAGACGTCAGTTGAAAATTCGTCTCAGGCTTTGGGCTTTCTTCTAATATGTAGGGGCCTAAATAACTACCAATACTTTTTTTTNNAATGGGCCCCAAAACCCTATTCTTTCTATTAAGGCCCCTGTACTAGGTTTTGCGGGTCTAGGATTTCGAGGCCTTGGGATTGTGTTTGTCGGGCTTTTGGGATGGGAAATCCACCTTACCACCGCCCATGAAGTCTCAAAATCCCGGGATAAACGATATAGAAGTCCCAGAAGAAGTCTGCTGAGACGTTCCCAAATAATCCTACTTACCCATAAACTTCAAGCAGCTAAAGGGTTCAGGGTTTAGGGTGAAACCTTGGAGGTCTCCACAACTACCAATCCGCCACCTGCGGTCTTTCGGGCCCGGTATCTCTGGAGCAGCTGGTCTGCATGCCCCACGTCGGGGTCGTTCGAAGTCATGGGTTCACATACTTCAGGGATCCCTTCGATGTTTAAGACTGAGCTTTCTATGCGTTTGTGCATACCGCCATGGTTCTACCACGTGCTTCTACCTGTGTTTCATCTTCTCTCTCTGGACATTCAGACAGGTGCTACATGTGTATATACATATATATATATATATATACGCACACGAACTGTATGCATGTTTACCTAAGTTCCATATGTTTAAGAACGGACGGTTTGTCGACAGACGACGCCTTGATGCGATGATGGTTTGCATACAGAAATTGCCAGCCCTTGAAGCACCTGGCAACAAGTTTCGTATGTTGGTAGTAGCCTCTTGGTTTTCGGTTAACCAGAACGTGGATGTGTCAACAACACCAGGAACGATGTGAAAGGTAGGGACCAGCCACAGTGTCACATTCCCGTTCCTCCAAATTCCTTAAAGAGCCCTAACCCCCCAGTTACCTACTATATAGGGTACCAGGGCCCCTAAGGCCCTATATAGTAGGTACCTGGAGGGTTAGGGAAAATGATGTGAATACAAGCTGTGTAAGCCCTACAAGTCCCACAGCTCTATGTAGTTTTATGCAACACCAACAGCAACAAATATGGCCATAAGCCATAAGTTTAGGGTTTAGGGTTTAGGGTTTAGGGATAATCATGCAATAAGCTTCATGTCATACTTTAGTAGGTCATGATCATCATAGCCTCTCCAACTCCTCAAATAAGAACCGAGGCAATGCTCGGAGTGGTTCAAGAACCTCTGGGATGCCGAGGCGACAACCTTGCAGCCTGTTGCTGTTTCGGTTTTTGGGTGTAGCATAAATTTGGACAGGGGGTGTGGGACCGCTGTGGGGGATGTACAGTCAGTGATCTGAGAGTTTGTCGTAGGGTTTTGCAGTTGGGGGTTTCGCGCTTTCAGGTTTAGGGTTCAAAGGTTTCGAGCTTATAGTGTAATGCTGGTTGCAACGAATCGCCGCTTCGCTCTTATCAATCTTTGGAGAGCCATCTTCTACTAGCTGTTGAGCGCCAGCTTTTCAGTACAGCGAGAGTGTTGTGATGCCGCAGTAACTTCATGATGGATGCTGCCAGGATTGAAGCCCAGTGTAGATCCTGAGCCGGGCCATGCACAGCAGGTGGATTGCCCTAAGCTACCATCTATCCCGTAAACCGCGGAACCCTGCGGCCTCAGACGGCAAACGGCTTCTTGGGGCTTTCGGTGTTTCCCTAAACCCTAAACCCTAAACCCTAAACCCTAAACCGCGGCCAGGTCCAGTGGCTCGAGGATGGCCTGGGCTCGTCCATGGCCGACTGGCAGAGCCTCTCCAAAGAGCTACGGCTTTCGGTTTAGGGTTTAGGGTTTAGGGTTTAGGGTTTAGGGTTTGGAGGTTCATGGGTAGTTATAAGTGGAGTTATAAGTCCCCTAATTTAGGTTATAATTATAGTTACCCTACTTATAACCCTACTTATAACTACCCATGAACCTCCAAGTACAGCTGACAGGTAGAGAATCATGCCTGCTTCGACCAAAAGCAGGGTAGCAGTGCCCAATCAGCAGCCGGCTCGCTTGTGTCTCAGCACTACACGGTTCTCTCTGTGAGGCAGCTGCGATAGCATTCGATGGCAAATTGTGCATTCAGAAGAAAGAGGGATGCCACAACGCAGTACACTCACCCTGACACAGCACGCCGCCCTGCCTGGTTACATGCAGAAGCCTACACAGCGGCAGTGCTGAAACTCTATAGAAGAAGCCTGCCCATCAGCGCCAAGGATCATTGCCACTCACTTCCCGCCCGAGCATGGCGTCGACGAGTGGCGGCGTCTCTCCAAGAGCCCCTTTGGACTTGAACGCAATCCACTTCACGGGCTAGGAGGACCATGACTCTAGTGGCACTAGTACGAAATGCCATCTATACTACATCTTACCCTTAAACTTGAAGCCCTTTGAGCGGCGAATTCTGGCCATGTAGGAGTTCATGTTTAATGGAACAGTGGACAGGTGCAGGTTTGTGTTGGCCGAGGTGTTGCCACATACACCCAGGTAGGGCAACACAGAATGAGGCTATGTTGTCATATGTTGTCATTGCCGATGTTGTTGTCGTCGGTACTTTCGGTACTAAATAGCTGATGGCTCGTGCTTCTATTCTTCTTCTTGCTAGTAGTATCACTTCTGTCGCGTAGTAGGAGTAGGAGTAGGAATAGTCGTAGAAGTGGTATTAGCACTGGTAGTCGGAGGAGTAGGGATTGCAGGAGTAGCAGTAGCAGTAACAGCATTCTCATGATTGGTGTTGCTGTTATTGCTGAGATTATGGCGTGGACCTGCTCCTGACCGCTCATCGACATGTGCAAGAGGTGCACGTGGATGAGACTTGACTCGCATACATCTTGGGGGGTTGGGCCTTTGGTATCGTCGGACTGGTTAGGCATTTCTCTCCAGGGTTTGGGATAGGATCTACTACAGGTTAAGTTTATAAGCGTTCAGAACATCGTATGTGAGGAACAGCACAGGCAGAAGCAGATCCTCGCCACAAAAGCCAACGGCAGTGCTGTTTCGAATTGCAAATGAGGCACACAACTCCAACCCTTCAAGTCCCAAGTCTCCAATTCGAATCCTCGTTCAAGGTATGGGTAAGTGGCTTTAGGCGATATCGTCTCTTGATGGCTTACAATTGAGTGTTTTGGGGTTTTGGGATTTCGGATGCACGATTCGCCATATGGGGGTTTCCGAAAACAGGGGACCCCGATAAGGCACCCTAAATAGTAGGATCCTTATTCTGAGGACCCCAAAATCAGGTACCCCTTCTTTTCGGAAACTCCTAGAGATCAATAGAATCTCTGACCCGAAAGTCTGATTCTCAGAAATCCCCATCCAGGACGAGGCCAACCTGCTGAAACCGACAGCCTTCGTGGTGAGCGGCGGGGGTGGCGGCATCACATCTGAGGACGCTCACAACTAGGGGCACATGAGTAGAACAGATCTAGTAGTGAGCATGGAATGACTATTGTGGGTTCCAGAACACCGATACGTTGAGGATCATTACGTTCGTATCCTCGCCATCACATCATCTTCGTCACTATCATGTTCGTCAACTTGATCTTGATCATGTTGCTGAGTTTTCGGCTTCGATCCCTATCGGTGGGAGGTGGTTGAAGCTAATATAGGGGCCTTAGTAATTGCCTATACTATTTTGGGGGTTTCCTTATTATGGTTATAGGTATAGTATACCCCAGAACCCTATTCTAACTACTAAGGCCCCTAAACCCTAAACAGCCCTAAACCGTCTAAACCCTTATAGTAGCCCTTATAGAACCCTTTTAAGGAACCCTATAAAGGAACTCACCCAAAACCCTACTCTAATTATTAAGGCCCCCTACACCTTAAACCCTCATAGTAGCCCGCCCTTATAGACTTCTTTAAGAACCCTTTAAAGGGACCCTATTCTAATTATGAAGGCCCCCTACATTATAAGTAGTGCCTTGGGCTTCTTTAGGGTTTAGGGTTTAGGGTTTAGGGTTCAGGGTTTAGGGTTTAGGGTTTTCAGACCCCAGGCTTCTTGAAGGAAGCATGGCTCTGGGGGTTGGGGCTCTCCGAGGTTTCGAAGTTCTGTAGCATCCGGGTGCAGAGCTTGTTTTAGGGTTTAGGGTTTAGGGTTTAGGGTTTGGTTTAGGGTTTAGGGTTTAGGGTTTAGGTCTTAGTTTTCGGTTAAGGGTTTCGGGAGATGGCGTTGGACTTGGGATTGAAGGCGCCCCAAAGAACGCGGCCTACGGCACTGACTCAGTAACGTCAGGAGACAGCCTCCGGTAGCTGTCGGAGTTTTAGCGTAGTGTACGTAATCTTTTTTGGGTTAGCATTGTCTGCAGAACTATGCAACTCCCCGAGTGTTGAACCCGAAACCCTTATAAGCCTTAAACAAAAACCCTAGACCGAGAACGCTGAAACACGGAAAAGGTTTCAAGCCCGTGGGTAAACATGGGTCGCAGGCCGTCCCTTCCGAGAACGGCGAGGACGACCAGCCGCTTGGGCCAAAATCCCTAGGCCCCTCAAGGTTTACTTGGAGGTTCATGGGTAGTTATAAGTGGCGTTATAAGTCCCCTAATATATGTTATAATTATACTTACCCTACTTATAACTACCCATGAACCTCCAATTAGGCAGGACGGGTGGTACAGGGGTTGTGGTTCAATCACTGTACCGGGACGAAATTCGTTGCATCCGCATGCTGTCATTGCCGTCCCTATCCCCGATGGAGATCGATCAAAGACATGAATACCCTCAAGAACTCGCTACGTCGAGTCTCGGGGCTCAGAGTTTGGTTATCCGTTACCGGCCATTCCAAGACTTCGTTCCTAAACCCTCCGCGCTGTACCCAGGCCCCAAACCCGAAACCCCAAGCCCCTAAGCCTGAACCCTGGGACCCTAAGCCCTCGTAAACCTTGAGCCCTACATAATATAGGGGCCTTAATAATTAGAATAGGGGCCCATCATACTACTATTATAATCAGGAACCCCCTAAGTAATGTAGGTCATCATTAAGGCCCCTATATTACTCCCATTATACTATAAATATAATAAGGAACCCACTAAAATAATGTAGATAATTACCCTAAACCCTAAACCCTAAACCCTAAATCCTAAACCCTAAACCCTAAACCCTATGAAGGCCCCTATATTACTCCAGGTACGGTTTCATGGACCTGACGGTCTCCAAGTAGCTTGGCTTTGTGGCTGTGGGAGTTTGGGGCTCGGTGCTCGAAGGATGTTGAAGGTGTTCAAATGGTGCGTTTAGGGCTTTAGGGTTTTTGGGGTTTTGGGCTTTAGGGTTTAGGGCTTTAGGGTTTTAGGGTTTAGGGTTTTAGGGTTTTAGGTGGCTAAGGCTGCGGAAATTCTAGGATTTAGGGTTTAGGGTTTAGGGTTCAGGGGATCCCTGTCCCTTGTATTCACAAGGATGTGTTACGAAGGCCGCTTGTGTTGCGAAGACCATGCTCATGTAAGTTTCAGACTGCTGGCTCTTCGTCCTAGGAATAGGAATCATGGTGGGTTGCAGAGGGACTATCAGGACTCCGATAGAGAACCCAGGCTTCGGCTGTTCTCTCTGATCTGGTCCATTGCGCACCAGTCAAGTCATTTGGGTAGTTTTCTAAATTAGGGTCCCTTTTGCGGGTCCTTTTTATAAGGGTGTCGTACGGGGACCTGAAAGGGGACCCTAATTTAGAGAACTACCCATTTCGTGATGCACCATCTTCGTGTTGACACTCTATGGCTCATGTAGTCACACCTGTTCACGAATGCCTGCGCAGACACTTCCCAAAACCCTCAACGGTGGGATCACAAAAAGGCCCCATAGTATAGTTCCTTTCTGGGATTGCCTTATAGGATTCTAAATATGAGCCCAAAAAAGGAACTACTATGGGGCCCATGGGAATTGTTATGAAGACACCCAAGGGACTCCAGGAAGCCACAAAGTATGAGCATCCTTATTACCGGGGCCGAAAGAAGTACCAATACTGTGATGCTGATTCTTTATCATAATTATTCGTAGTACCAAGGACCCCCCAAACCTATTCGAATTATTAGGGCCCCTACATTGTCATGGAGGGTCGTCGGGCTGCACCTGCCAGCATCTAAGGCATGAGATCAAGATTACGGCGGTGTCCCATGGCGGGCAAATCCGGAATGTCAAGTGCCTGACACAGCGGCTGCCAGGCGACGACTTTACACAGGAGCCATCCGGGCTAGATCTGCTCAGATCCTGCTGCTCCGAAATATATTCTGTGAGCACGAAAACGTAGGGCTTCGTACGGCTGAGATCTTGAAGATGACTTGAGCCACGCAATTCCGGCAAAGCTTTCACCAGGAAGCTGGGGTTTCAATTGGGAGTTTCCGAAAATTAGGGGTACCTTATTTTGGGGGTCCTTATAATAAGGATCCTACTATTTAGGGTACTATACTAGGGTCCCCTATTTTCTGAAACTCCCAATTGGCATGCCAGAAAGCCGGTTCTAGCGATGTCCTGTCAGGTCTCGACCCTGTACCGCACCCTCAACAAAGTGAGGAGTCAGGATGATGGTGATGATCCCTAACCCTCCAGGTGCCTACTATATAGGGCCTCAGGGGTTCTAGTACCCTATATAGTAGGTACCTGGGGGGTTAGGGGATGACAATGATGATCATGTTGGTGCTGCCGATGATGCATGATGATGAAGAAGAAGAAAGGCAACCTGAAGATGTTCATACATGACGACGAAGGTGGTGACAGCAATACGACAGTGCCTAAGATAAGCGGCAGCAAGATGATGCTGCTGCAGAGCCACATGTTGGGAAAGTCTAGGTTCAGCACTACAGGGCTCATGCATCGCTGATGTTGTCAGTTGTAAGCTTCGACGGTCCGAACTTTGTCTGTGGTTCCACCGAAAATGGATCCATTCGGTACGCGTTTTTTTTTGTGAGGTCGCCATGAAAAGGTTACGACGTTTTGAAACTCTGCAATCGCCTGTGATACAGAATTTCGTGCTGTCGGTCTGCACTCGTGATGCCGGTCTCTGTTGCCTGTCAGGAGCTGACAGACGGGTCTCTTTGCGACAATGCGCCACAGGGACTTCAGAAGCCACCCAAGCCGGACATCGCACCAACAGTGACTGACATCCACTGGTGAGGCCTTCTGGCAACCCGGTGTGGGATCCAAGCGGGCTAGGCTCAGTACACCCTGAAGCCCATTTCGTTTCGGGGTTGCCGTACCTTTCTGCGGCATGGCCACCGCAAGACCCTACCGAATCACCCGCTGCAGCTCCAGAAGCTTAAGCGTTCAACGGATAGACTTTTATAATACTTTTATACCCTAAACCCTAAACCCTTTCTTGACCTACATAAAGGCGCAATGAATCCTGTGGTTCCGACAGCAGAATCTGCATTGTCCTTGTTCTGTTTCGGTAGCTGGGTTCAAGCAGGGAGTTCTTGCAGTGATGGATGTTCTGTTGATAGGGCTAGGGGTTTGAAGCAGCAGTGCTCGTAAGTAGTAATTTGCAGTATTCCCGTTTTTTGTTATTGTTAGCCGTCGTTGTCGTTGTCGTCAGAGCCGTGGTCGTAGTCGTAGTCTCAGTCTCAGTCGTAGTAGTAGTCGTAGAAGCAGTAGCAGCAGCAGTAGCATCGCAAGTGGTAGGAAAGAGGTCATGTAGTATTGAAATTGCGACAATAAACATGTTTGCAACGTAGCTACAAACACATGTCAATGCTGGCATGGTACACGGGGGCATAAGAATGCCATTTCCCGGCCAAGCAACGATGTCGGGGGTGATTCATAGCCTTCTCATTGCCATCAGAATGAATCTTCTTGTACTACGACAACCCGCGGAAGTTTCACATCTCAGACCGGGTGCAGATTGGCAGGCCCCAGGCTACAAAGGCCAGGAGAATCCTCCACCCAAAGCCTTGAACTATTCACATAGATCGATCGAGTTAGGTATTCACACCATCCACCTCCAGAGGTGTATGCTGCCCTACAGGTAGCATTCACTGGCTCTACTGTCAAACGACACGGGATGTGCGTACTAGAGTGGTGTTTTATGTTCATAGCAATGGTGCTGATCTGGACTCATCCCGGCATCAACCTGTCTGCTGGTGTACAGCGCACAGAGCAATATCGCAAGTTTCACCGATGTGTGCGCAAAGACGCTTTCCTGCGGCAGCAGCAGCAGCAACAGAATGAAGAACAGGCTGCTCACTGGTTCATCTGCGAGTCGATGTTCGAGATGGGTCTCGTCTCCAGATATTCCAATTGATACCACCTTAAGAACCCAAAACCCACCTTGTTGTAGGTTCTTATTATAAACCCTAATATGGGATTTATAGGGACCCTACAAAAAAGTAGGTTTTGGGTTCTTAAGGTATGACTACAGTACGTTGGCAAGCTCCAAACAGGCCATGAGGGAATCCGAACAGCAAGAGGGACAACGTAGATGTTCGCCGGATTCTGGGGCCGCTTAGAATATCCCCTCAGGTGCAGACCAGGGGACTTCAGAACCCGCGCCTGAGCGCCAGTTGGCCTACTTGGAGGATCATGGGACTTATCAAGTAAGGCTATAAGTCCCCCAGTTGGGGTTATAAGTATAGTTACCTTGGTTATAACCCTACTTACTAAGTCTCATGATCCTTTAAGTAAGGTCTGAATTGCCGGGAGGAGGCAGTCCAGACCTCCCCAAGGGGCAATGCAGACCCCAGCCAAATACTGTATACCCAAAACCCTAAACCCTAAACCCTAAACCCCTCGTAACCTCGCAACAAACATAACGGGACTCTGTCACAAGACATCACCATCGATGCAAAGATCCGGGGCTTAGGCGTCTTGCTCTCGCTCTTTTCCGAAGGAGATGCTCGAAAACCTTGCTCTTTGTAGTCCTATACCGGTCTGATGCCCCGTCTAAGACAGACATCAAACGTTGAGATTCTACGCCCTCAAAAGCTCCAAATGCTGAACCTTGAGCCCCCAACAATGGGAAGATAGGGAGATGGTTTGCAATTCGCTTTCCGGCTTGGCTCAACCAGCCCATGAGCAGGGTCAGCGGACACTCTGGTACACGACAACAGTGAAACCCAGCTCTGGGGCAGCTTTGGAAATTTGGTAGCTTGTATAACTCGTTCAGCCGCCAGACGTACAAGAAGAAAGTCAAGCAGAAGAGTTGAAGTGACAGGCACCGGCATGATGTTGTTTTTTGGAGACGTCGGTAGCCCGAAGTGTTTCAGCATCCCGAGACCCTCAAGCCTCGGTAAGGCCTCACGCCTTCTGCCCTACGGGCCCTTAGCTCCACAGCCCCAAGCCTGTACCCTACACTACCCCACACCCAAAACACACTCAACTCTTCCAAAACTTCCGGCACTGCTAAACCAAACCTAGAAAACCACCCCAACAAAAAGCTCCAAAAGTCATGGAGCTTCCTCCGCCAATCTCGCGGGCGCCGGGGCCAAGGGGCCGCACAGCTCCTGCTACCTCTGGCCTTCTGGGGCGATGCACCTGGCGGCTGGTGCCTTTCTTTAAGAGTAGTTCGATTCTCCTTCCCAAAATCTTGAGCAATATCATCAGCATCAATGCTGTTGTCATCGTTATCATTGTAGTTATCATCCACTTCATCATCGTCTTCTCCAGCATTGATATGATAGTTGCCATTGTTCAAGCCGGTGCAAACTTGAGCTACCATGAAGACCATCATCGGCCAACTTTCATCATGTTCTGGGTCACAGTCTGATGCCATGGCAATTGTCCATGCCAGAATCTCCCCTAAACCCTTAGCCCCCAACCCTAAATCGAACGGAAGAGGACGTGAAGCGATTCAAGGCTTTGCATCTGGGGATGTGGGTATGCGTGTATGCATGTATATCGGTATTTTTCATATGCATAGAGATAATCTACTTGCATTGCAGTCCCCATATATGGTTGCTACTTACACAATCTTACACATTGCAACCAATAGTCGCTAAACGTCTATCAGGTCAGGTCCTCGAGCAGAGCCTGCGTACTGCTGTGAGAAACCTACTTGGAGGATCATGGGACTTACTAAGTAAGGTAAGTCCCCTAATTGGGGTTATAAGTATAGTTAATTACCTTACATATAATCCTACTTACTAAGTCCCATGATCCTGTAAGTAGGGTGTAGCGGTTTAGCGTTTCAGAGGTTCAGGCATGTTTCTGCCCGCTTTGATGCTGTGTCTTGGGTCTTTAACGGGTTTGCAGTTTATGGCGATCCTTACAAATGAAGCCACGCGTACGCCGAGCTAATGCTTCTGCACGTTTCATCTGGTTGTCTCGTGTGACTAGCCTGCTGCCTCTTTTCCCCTCTGGAAGCCTGCTTGAAGAAGCAGGGGGCTCGCTGACTTACCCGCTTGCTCAAACTATCTCAATCTAGCGCTGCAAGTTGTAAGTTGGACAAGGAGGGATTGGACATCTGTATTACCCTGCACTACGCCGCCTCATTCCGTGCGGCCCCTTCCAGGTTTTCCTGGGCATCTGCTTGTCTCAAAACTGCCCTGGTGGTGGTGAGACGCCACTCAACCTGGTAATTACGGGCCAATCCCTGAAAAGCTTCGGGTTCCGTAGCAAGCATACGAGCTTGCGGATGTTGGGTGTGATCCTGAGATTCTTGGGCCAGCTGTTCCGAACACTGGCACTCTTGGAAAGAGGAACTTGAGGCGGCTGTCTAGCTGTAAGCCCTTTGGAGGGGTCATCTCCAAAGACGAGAAAGCCGAAGAGCTCGTACTTAAGCGATATTTCTTAAACTGTAATCACCAGCCCTCGACAATTCCGGGAACAGGAATATGGTACTTAATGAAGCCTCGCTTGAGTTTCAGAGATTGCCGGGGAAGTCACCTATCTTAAATAGAACGGCTCCTTACCCATCCTTTGCTCCTCCTCGTAAGGCTGGGCGTTTAGGTTGTGTCTATCTTTCGTGTCAGGCTTTGAAGGTCTGACGTCGTCACAGGGAATTAGGCTTAGGGGTATCAGCTGCTGCACATGTATGGGCCCACAGTTACATGACAAGTGCAGGTCACTCAGACTTGGCTCATAAAGTGTTTTTTCACAGAACAATCCAAGAACCATCTGGGTGTTCCTTACGAGTTGGGTTTCAAGTTTGTGATAGCATAAACGCAACGTGTTATTCAGCATGGTTTATCGGTCTGAGCGCCAGATAGCCACAAGCCCTAAGCCTCAGAACTAGAAAGCACATGAACGCTGGTTCCTGAACCTCTAGACCCCACACTTCCGAAACCTGAAACCCTCCGACCCCTAAACATTGTGCTGTCCTTACAAGCTGAAGTTTTCCCGGAATCCGCTTACGTTAAACTTCGTAATAGTCTTCCTTTAGCCTCCTTAATGTAAGTATCGTATTATATTACCTCAAGAAATTGTTCTAATTATGCAGGCCCCCTATAATTACCCTAAACCCTAAAACTTTAACCCTAAACCCTAAACCCCCGTATACCCTAAACCCTAAACCCTAAACCCTAAGTCCCGAAGTCCCTAAACCCTAAACCCTACGTCCCTAAACCCTAAACCCTAAACCCTAAGTCCCTAAGTCCCTAAACCCTAAACCCTAAGTCCCTAAACCCTAAACCCTAAACCCTTAACCCTAAACCCTAAGTCCCTAAGTCCCTAAGTCCCTAAGTCCCTAAACTCTAAACCCTAAGTCCCTAAACCCTAAACCCTAAACCCTAAGTAGATTTCCAACTCCCCGAGGTTCCTCACGCCACGGAGCCCCCAGCCTCCGCGAACGCGGCTTCGAGCCCGGTCCGGGTGGCGACGCGCACGGCCGGCACGGAGTTTCCCCCGCTTTTGCCGGGGTAAGGGCTAAGGGTTCAGGGCTAAGGGTTTAGGGTTAAGGG